GACCTACTCCCCAACACTGCAGTAGTTACAGCAGTGAACACCTCCTGTGTGTGCTTAGAAAGCCATGTAACCTTTCTGTGGGATGTGAGCTTAGAAGGACACTCTTGCATATGAGCTTGCATGGACTGAGATTGAGTAAATGATCCCAGACTCATTTCTACAATAGCTGTTGTATTTGGATGTTTCTTTTCCATCCTCCAGTTCCCAAATAACTGATGTGGAGACTTAATATTAATTATAATTGCTTGGCCAATAGCTCAGGCTTGTTACTAGCTAACTCTTACATTTTAAATTAACCCTTATTTCTTATCTATGCTTTGCTGTGTGATTCGTGGCTGTCCTCCAGCGTGACTTGCTCCCTCTGTATCTCCTGATGACTCTTCTCACTCTGCCCTCCTTCTTCCCAGCCTCCTCTGTGTCTGGCTGTCCCGCCTATACTTCATGTCTAGGTTTTTATTAAACCAATCCAAGTGGCAAATCTTCACATGGGAACTGGCAGATTTTTGTAGGGAGAGTGGGTCCTTTTGTTTTGTCCCACCCGGCTAGCTTACACCTGAAATAACCACACAGAAATTGTATTAATGAAATTACTGCCTGGCCCATTATATGTAGCCTATTATTGTCTTACTGGTCATTTCAAGCATCTCTTAGACATACAGCTTCATGTACCTGCAAGCTCTTTCTGTGTCATCTGTTGATATCTGTGGTGCCACTGGTGCAGAGTGACTTAATGGAAATGCTCCTTGGTGCGGCTGTACTTTGATGCTCTCTTCTCATCTGCTCTGTTCTGTTCTTTGTTTTTCTTTGGTCAAAATAAATCCTTAATTTTATATTATCAAATAAATTATTTAACCTAGGTTTATGCATCCCAAATTTTGTTTTAAAAATTCCTTCCTGGGGCTGGAGAGATGGCTCAGTGGTTAAGAGCACTTGTTCTTCTAGAGGACCCAAGCTCAGGTCCTAGGACCCACATCAGGCAACTCCTAAGCACCAAAGAGAATCTGATGCCTTTTCTGACTAACGCAGGAAGTGCCCTCACACACACACACACACACACACACACACACACACACACACACACAGAGAGAGAGAGAGAGAGAGAGAGAGAGAGAGAATTAAAAATTAAATTGAAATTAAAAATTTTAAAATGCGATCTCTGGGTCACATCTATGACTTTAATTCTTACAGACATTTTATCAGTGTTGCATCCAGCTCTATTCTGTTTTCCTCCATTTGATGAGCCAGGTTTTTAATAACATCTCACAAGGGTAGGACAGGGGAAAGGAGTGGGGAGAGGGAGGGAGGGAGAGAGGGAGGAAGGAGAGAGACAGAAGGAGGGAGGGGGAGACGGGGGGGGGAGAAAAAAATTCCAAGCTTATTTTTTTATTGAGCCACGGCACCCTTCCCCTTCTCTGTGGTCTCCATGGCTACTGTCCTATAGCTCCATGCCTGTCCCACTGGTCTGTAGTTCTTGCTCCGGGTTTTGTTGCTCCACTTTTTACTATAATGATGTCATGGTCATCTTCTGATGGCCAACACAGCGACTCATTCATTTTAAGGTTTATGTAACTGTTCCTGGACCAAAGTTTACTTTTCCTTATAAATTTGGAGCACATTCATTAAGTTACTCAGAAATTATATTTTGAGAGATTTTTTATTGGGATTATATTAAATTTGTAGATTATTTTGAATAGGCTCGATATCTTTGTAATGGTAATGTGTTCTACCTGAAAGCATGTAAGATGTCTTTCCACTTACTCTTCTTATTTTTTAGCATTTTTTTTAGAGCTTGGAATTAATTTAAAACTAACAGAAGAGTTCTAACAATATTACCAGGAGCTCCTGTATGCTTCTTTTCTGGAACAACCAAATGTTAACGTCCAGCCATTGCTTCATGACGCCCTCTGTGCATGTCACGTTTCCCTGATCCTTTTGGGCCCAGTCTCCATCGATTTTTCACCTCTAGGCACATCAGCACCTTGGGTCAAACTCAAGGCCTCGCGCATGCTAGGCAAGTGCTCTCCCACCGAGCTGTCCTCAGCCCCTTTTTAAACTCCTTCATGAAACCAAAAGGGCATTCTTGAGACTTTATGTTCTGATCCTATAGTGACTCATATTTCTTATTTTCTAGATGGCAATCTGTAGTTTAAGATGCCTAACATGGCTTTTTCTCTCATTTTCTGTGCCAGCTACTAAATTCTGGCTCTGCTGTTCTGAAACATGAGTGCATTTCTGTAGGAAAACTTGCGAACATTTTTTATTAGGAGCAATACCTTTTTTTTTTTTATAACTTGACCTTGGCCTACTTTGTGGGGCTACAAAATATACAAATTAGGAAATTGGTATTTCTCAGTTCTATATTTTCCTTCTTTCTTTTTTAAACCAGCAGCACCCATCTAAGAACTAACCAAACTCAACCCTGCTTAGCTTCCCCAGTCAGATTTAGGATGATGCTACTGTAGACAACTCTGTATTTTCTTGAAAATTTCAATAGTGTCCCATACACTATGCATTGTCAATCTTTTGTGAAAAGAAGGTTAAAGGATTTCATCAAAACTGGAGTTGAGGGCTGGAGAGATGGCTCAGCGGTTAAGAGCATTGCCTGCTCTTCCAAAGATCCTGAGTTCAATTCCCAGCAACCAGATGGTGGCTCACAACCTTCTGTAATGAGGTCTGGTTCCCTCTTCTGGCCTTCAGGCATACACACAGACAGACTATTGTATACATAATAAATAGATAAATAAATGAATAAATAAATAAAAGAGTTTAAATTTATTTAAAAGGCTGGAGTTGAAATGTCTTTAAATTGGTACAAACTGTATATTAACGTGACTATAGTCCTAGTCAGGCTTGGTGCAATCTGACCAAAGAATGCTGTGCCTTTGAAAGCTCTCGAGGTACCATGAAGCCTCTGCAGGGAACCCATCAGCACAGCGCAGTGAGGGCTTGACCAAGTCTACCAACGACATTTCAAAACTAGTAACACTGATAGTAATAAAATAATCCACTCCAGCTCTCAAGAGCAGAGGCAGGTGTTGCCATGGGATTCGAGTCTGTAGATCTTGTGTCCTGATTGTTCTAAACAGACCTTGTGTGTGACAGCCTCGCTTCAGGGTGTCATTCGTTTTGTCTTCTAGTTCCCCCCACCCAGTAGTTAATCATATCCCTGAAACAGTGGTGGTTGTGTAGCTTCTTCCCCATCCTTGTGCTTTATTTCTTTCTCTTTTCTTATAGCGTTGGCCAGGGCTTCCAGGACCGTGTCAGAATGTTTCACCAGATGCGTCCTTGAGAAGCTGAAAAGAGTGAGCCTAATTTTTTTCCCATTTTGTATGGCAGTTTTTCATTTGTTTAATATTTGATAGGTTTGGTTTTGTTTTAGACGGGGTCTTGCTATGTTGTCTTGGCTGCTCTGGAACTCTATATGGACCAGGCTGGCCTCAAACCCACAGAGATCCACCTGTTTCAGCACCTCTGAGTGCTGGGATAAAGGCTTCCGTTCATATGTGTACCCTTTATCAGGAGCAGGTGTTTCCTCCTGCTTGTAATTTATTGAGCTTTTCTAGCAAGAATGGCTGGATAGATATTAAACCTTATGGACAACTTTGCCAGATTTTTCCTCCAGGAAATAAGATGGCTCCACTCCAGCTGCAAACCCGAATCTGACGCGGTATGGTTAAGTTGTTACTAACAGAACATAAATAAGAGGCTTCGATATTTCCGCACTCTACATCCATTAATGTGTGGTCAAATCTCAAGAGTCTAATGCAAACTTGTTTCCCAGTGAGCTCACACGTTTCCTTCTGATGTGGAGAGTCAAAACTGAAAAAGCTGTGTGAAGGAGGAGGGGTCACAGTGAGCATTGCAGTTGTACTCAGTGTGATCGTCAATAAAACCAGTTCCCTTACTCTGGGTCAGTTTCTACTCCAGGTGTAAATCTTAAGGATATTTCAAGAGAAACTGCAGTTATTTAGCAGGTAGAGACGCAGATGGCTCTCCAGTGACAGTTATGCTCGTGGGTGGATTGCTGGGCCGTTAGTTACCATTGTTCCTTTTCTCCCACTTCAGATCAGTACTCCCCCCCCCATTATAAAAAACTGTATGTATTAAACACAGAAAGTTTGTAAAATATAGAAAAGCAAACTTATAATCCTGGGTTTGGTGCCAACCTCTTAAAAGCTTTATTTCACTACCATCTGGTTGTGGAGGAGGGGATGTGCTTAAACCAGGGCTTCAGTGCCTTCTTCCTTTTTCAGAGATAAGCTGAGCTCACCTTGATCTCATATTGATCCCCTTCCCCTTCCTTCCTGCTATCAAGGAGGGTAGCAGGCTATTATTAGCTTTAGGTATGGGGAGAGAAGCCCCTGGGTCGCCTGGCTGAGCCCAAGAGAGCCACCATGCACTGTACACCAAGCTCAGCACTGTAATTGAACATGGAGCATCCATGGTCTAGAGCCCGACAGAGAGGGTCCTGAATCTGGGAGCAGGAGGTACCACTTTGATGATTTTTACCCTTTAGCATCAGTTCAGTCCCTGGTTCCTCTTTCTTCACATATTTTCATTTAAAGTCAGGGTCTCAGTGTGCAGTCCCGGTCTTTGGCCTGCTAGACTTGTTATGTAGACCAGGCTGGCCTGGAACTTGCATGGATCCTCCTGCCTCAGCCTCCAAGTGCTGGGTCTTTAGGTATACAGTAGCACACACTTTGCTTTTTGTTTTTTTTTCGACTCCAAAATAAACCTCCACATAGTCATTTTGTTTCCCTAATCTCTGTCTTGTGGGCTGTCCTATACAGACATGTAACGAGCAGGAAGTGAACAAACTCCTAAGTTAACATTCCTATCATCAGCAAGTTCAGTTCCACACAAGTGCGCTTCCTCCTCATGATCATCCCTTTCTCCTGATTTGCTGGAGTGTTTATTTTCAGTTTGCATTAATCCTTGTCTCTTTCTGTAATCCCTCAAGAGAGAGAGAGAGCCCTACAAAGACAAGATTCTTTTCTGTCAAGTTTTCCCAGGCACCTCTGTCACTGCGCCCCTACAAGTGAGTCTGTCTTGTGACCCAGAGACAGGAAACCCACAGAATGGGAAACGACTCTTCTTCGCCTCCTTCTAAGGTGAGGGTGGGTAGTAGGATTTCATTGCTCCCTGACAATGTGAATAGAGCCAGGCACACCATCCACCCAGAGAGACACTGCCATTGTGCCAGCCTCTGCTGTGGGTAGGAAGAGCATGCTGCCTTTTCCTGAAAGCAGAGTAAGGATTTGTGATGGGAGAGGGACCGGGAGAGAATGGTTGGTGCTGACATTCAGCCACGGGTCCTGGCCATGTGCACACTGGGTATTGTTCTCATGCCTTGATTCTTTTAGTGTAAATGAGCCTGCGCCGTCAGCAGAAAAAGTTGCAATGGATGTGCCGAGCTGTGCTTCACTCCCCAGCCTCACACCCCATGACCTCCTCTTTCTAGTTTGTTCTCTCCTCCCATGCCTAGTAAAGTAGACACTTTTTTTCGCCTTTTCTGTTGTTTCTGACAATAAGTATTATTCTGGATCTCACTCTGGGCTGTTGTGCCAGAAGTCACATTCACAGCATGGTGTGGGATGTTAGCAGTCAACTGCTGCAAGGTCGTGGTAATGCTGTCCCGAGGCCATGGCCCCTGCCTACTGCTCAGCACTCCAGCTACTCAGTCAGGTCCCAAGCGCTGCTGCCCTGGCCTGATCCAGAGCTGCTCCTGTACACGCGTGTCTCCTGTACACGCATGTCTCCTATACACGCGTGTCTTTCTGTCTCTTCACTTTCTCCCAGTCGACAGGTCTCTGTCTCTCTTGTAGCAGTAAATGTGGCAGTGAGTGTCTTACTCTAGTTATTGGTATGTCGTCTGTCCAATTTACAGAGTTTCATTAGCTCTCCAAATTCAAATGAAGGGAAGCTAGAACCGATGATGGTGGTGCACACTTACTTGTAAGGAGGATTGCAAGTTCAAGGCCAGCCTGGTTTATGGGGTAGACCTTATCTCCAATATAATATGATGACATGATATGATAGTTAATATAATATAATATGCCAGCAGTGAGCTTGTTAGCCAGTTCCATAAATACCTAGCTCATTTAATCTTCAGAATGATTATGTGGAAGGTGATGCTTTAGCCCTGTTTAAGGTAGAGACGCTCAATGTATATTGATAAGGAACCTTCTGTAAAGTTCTGTTGCTGACTGAAACAGATCTCTGCCATTAGGGTTTGGATTAGTTTATCCACAGAGACCCTGCTGTTTGCTGTAGTGCACCAAGGCCAACGAGGGCTAACCTCAAGCTTATGGTGGTCCTGTCTCGGTGTCCCAAGTGCCAGGATTACAGAAATACACCATCATTTTTTAAATTAATTAATTTAATATATGTATTTATTTGCTTATGTGTGTCTCTTGTGGGTTCACATGTACCACAGTGCACTTGTGGAGGTCCGACAACCTTCAGGTGCTGGCCCTCGCCCTTCCATCTTGCTCAAGACAGAGTCCTCTTGCTACTGCACAAACCAGGCCCTCGCTGTGCTGCCGTGTTCTGGAGATGGTCCTGTCTCTGCCTTCTGCCTCGCTGTTGGGACACGCTGGGATGCAGATGTGTGTACCACTGAGTCCAGCGTGGCTTCTGGGGGTCATCAGTCTTGTATAGCTTAACTGAGCCATTTCCCTAGCCCCATTATTTTCTTAAATAATTTATTTAAAAAGATAGATCCAAGGAAATGACAGAGTTTGTAATTCATCCATTTCTTAAGCAGTCTTTAATTTGTTCTAAATTTAAATTAAAAATATTTTGCTTATAATCTGTTTGTTGAAGAAACTGGCCATTTTTCCTAATGTTTCCTACAATATGGATTTTTAAAATAGCTTGGTTGGCTCAATTTCACTCTAGTTTCTATAGTGAGTTAGCTTACAACTTACCCTTTCATCTGATGGCCATTGCAAAAGGTTCCAAATTGCTCAGTCACTATAAATAGAATTCACTAGCCCATATAATTTGGTCTCGCCCTGAGGTCATTTCTGAGGAGTCTTCTAGAGTGTTCCAGGTGTCAGAGAGTGACATTATCTGTAGCCAGCCATTTCCATATAAACACATTGTGCCTTGAAAGGATTTTGTAACTATCTGGCAAGGCAGTTTCTGTGTTCCCTAGGGCTGGGTGTGGAGGGGGGGGGGGTGCCTCTAGCTTTCTTCTTTAGGGACTGTGTGTTGCTTTAAGGATTTCCAGAGCTCTATGGCAGGACCTTGTTGGGATGTCATCTAACAGTGTTGATCTGTTCTGGGAAAGCACTGAGGACCCCTGGAGGGGTAGTGAGGGGAGAGTGCGTTTGCTTTGGAATCACACTCTACAGGCGCCTGTTGTGGTCCTAGAGACTCAGCAGCTCTCAGGACTGGATGTCATGATGCTAATACAGAAGATTCTGAACCCACAGATTTCAGTACCCCAGGTTCTTGCTGCCGGTGTCTGGAGTCAGTGATTCTAGTGTCTGGATCACTGTGGACATGAAGACGTCCAGGTTCCTCTCCTTTCTTCCTTTACTTTGGGAGGTTTGTTGCATTTGCCTGTCCATCACCTGATGGTTCTGTAGGTTAGCAAACCAGTGGTCAAGTAACACACATGAATGCTGTTGAAGTTTGATCTGTCATTGATTCAAAGGTTCTAAGAAGAAAATATATCAGTGTTGATGGCCCCTCTGTATGCTGTGAATATGTTTTATTACCATTGGTTAATAAAGAAGCCGATTTGGCCAATAGCCAAGCAGAATAGGGTCAGGTGGGAAATCCAAGCAAAGATATAGGGAAAAGGGGGCAGAGTCTGGGAGATGTCAGCAGCTGCTGAAGGAGTAAGATGCCAAAGCATTACTCGTAAGCTATGGGGCACCTGGGCATATACGGATTAATAGAAATGGGTTCACTTAAATGGTAAGAGCTTGTTAATGATAAGCCTGAGCTGATAGACTGAACAGGTTTTAATTAATATTAAGCCTCAGCACGGTTATTCATGAACTGGTGGGTGGGAGAGGAACCTTCAGTTACACAGTGTCAGTATTTTACATAGTGTCATATTTAGTCTTAAAGTTAAATAGTTAATAAACAAAGACACAGAGAAGGACATTCGGTGAACTGCATAGAGCCCTAAGGAGATTGGTCATATTAGTAATAGGTTTGCTTTTATTAAAGCATTAGTTAACAGTAAGTCACTGAAAAGCTTCCAAGTGAATTTGGCCAATATGCTCAAAGTTTATTCTTATATTCCATAGAGGAAATTCAAACTGGGTCAGTTATCTCTTATTATGACTTGAAATGCTTAAAATTATAATTAGCTTTTTGCAAGGCGGATGTTAATCAGGGCGATCTGCAGCCCTGAGGCCTCACTGTTGTCTCCCTTTGCAATGATGAGAGAAAAGTAAGAAGGGCTTCAGGTTGGCATGTAGGCACATGATTGTAATCATAAGACTTGGGAGACTGAGGCAGGAGGATTGCCACAAGTTTGAGGCCAGCTTGGGCTACACAGTGCGTTTCTGGCTAGCATGAAGTACACTGTAAAACCTTTTCTCAAAATACTCATTATCTATGCCTAACCAAGGAGCGACAGTGCATACAAAAGATGGTGACAGAGGTGAAAGCCACCTAGGGTTGCAAGCTGGTGGTGTGACTATAATGCTGAATTACAAGGTTTTTTTGAGACAGGGTTTCTCCGTAGCTTTGGCTGTTTTGGCTGCCCTGGAACTCACTCTGTAGACCAAGGTGATTTTGAACTCACAGACATCCGCCTGCCTCTGCTTCCCTGAGTGCTGGGATTAAAGCCAGGCGCCACTCCACCTGACCTTGCGTTGCATTCTTGCTATGCAATGAGGACAGTTGCTATCTGCCTGTGTTGTTTTCACTTGGGCAGAGGGCCGAGCAGGTGCACAGGTATGTGGGGCCTTGCAGAGTGCTGGCATGGCATTTGGTTTGCCTGACACTGGGGTGCGTGGTTAGAAGGAGGATGGCAGGAGATGAAGCCAAACCTGTGGTGGGGACTGGGTCTTAACAAGGTGTGTCTGCCCAGCGGAGGAGTTTTACTGCAGATGGCGGGTGGAAGAGCCCCAGGCAGAGAGAAGTGTGCGGGTTTGCGGTTTTCTAGCCACAGAGTGAGGAGCAAGGGAAAGGGAGATGAGATTGGGAGGCAGCGTGCCGGATCCTCAGAAAAGACAGGTGGAGGCAGATGGCTATGTCTGATGATTTAACAGCAGAGCCAATGTTCTTTCCTAGAAGTACAGGGCATTTTTTGTGTAAGTAAACAAATTAATTTCATATCCTCCTTTTATCCCCAGAAGGTATTTGGCAAAGGCTTTTTTGGACCCATACATAGGGATCTCCTTTGTGACTACCAAACCCTGTGGCTGTTAAGAACACACAGCTTGCATACTGCCTGGTAGAAAGGGGTGTCCTCTGCTCTTTCCCCATGATCAGTAACCACAGAGTCACATTTCTCCCTCTTCTCAAGTACGCAATTGTAGTTTAGAGAAGTTAGCTCCGCCCAGAAATGCTGCTTTGGCTGTATTATTTATGCTGCAATTAGTCTGGGTGATGATGGTCCTCCTCCCCGTCCCTCCCCTTCCCCCATGAT